AGTGCTACACCACTCTAGTCTGCATTTTTAACTCTGAAGGACCGACTGAAATAGTGTGTGCCCTCTCAATTTTCAAAATCCTCACTTTTGGGTTTTGGGTGGCTGTTTTTTACTTTTGATTTTATTCAATGTAAAGACTTTGTTTCAAATCAGCATAGCTGAGAGACATGCTATGTCTCTGAAGTGACTGAACTGGCCCTAAGGTGATTGTTTCTGCTACCACCTTTTAAAACAGTCAAGAATGGTATGGACAGTTTTATCAGGAATGGCTAATAAAATGTACCAGAGTGTATCACTCTGTAGCAATGTTGTGATGTGCTAATGAAGATCCAAGTTGTTTCTGATTCTTTCCTGTGTTTCAATGTAGGTGCTGTAAATGCATTGATGGGAAAAAAGCAGGTAAAGAACTTACAGAGAAGCCAAAGTTTATTCTATCAGTGTTACTGCTGTGGAACTTCGGGCTGTTAATTGTGGACCGTATCCTTGCCATTTTATGCACCATTCCCTTACTTATTCTGATATATACTAAGTATAAGATTAATTCTTTCTATTATGACAATTCTGAAATATGAGCTGCTTTCGAAAGTGGGTGTCGGGTGGGTTAGTGGCTTCCCAAAACTGTGGTCTCTGACCAACTTTACTAGCCTGATTGTTATTATAGGTTACTTTGTCTCTGAAAAGTTAATGGTAATATGTGAGAACCATTTAAACCAAAAGTAAAGCAATATATTGGGATTTGTTAACTTTCTATGGATTAATACATATATCTTAAATAGATTTATGACACATTCTAAAAGCCTTTTATAGGAAAGAGCACATCACAGTGTTGCATATGGGAATAGGCAGGCCTTCATGCTTGTCCACCATCTTGGCTTACCACATGTTAAGAGGCAAAGTTCTAAAATCCTAATAATAAAAGCCTAATTTTTACAGTTTTTATAGGGGTAGCCTGGCATGGAGGAAAACACCCAGACTTTGATTTAAGTTTGACCTGGACTCAAATTTTAGTTACATTATGGCAGTAGGTTTAGGCCATGAGAAGATTAATGTCTCTAAGGTCAGACTACCTCACAGGTTCATTGTGAGGCTTAATAAATAAGATTGTAGATGTACTATCAACAGTAGAGTGCTGCATGCTAGTGGCCTTCAGTAGCTGTTAGGTCCCTTCCTTTCTCATCCCTAATTCTTAAAAACCAAACCAAAGAAAAAACTTTTTGCCCTTTAGTTGCTGTATCTTTTTTTTGTTTTTTTTTTAAAGATTTTTATTGGGGAATTGGGGGGATGGGAACAGTGCTGGGGAATTGGGGGAAGGGGAACAGACAAGTTGCTGTCGNATTGCTTTGGAGGGTGGGCTACGTGTTGGTGTCGGTGCCCAGCTTCCCAAGGGCAGTACTTCCAAAGTGACTGTAGTGATATTCGGCAATGAGGTATGCAGCACTTTGTCTAAGATGAGTTCGCGAACTTAATTTTCTGACCTTGCATATTGAGTTTGAGGTGTGTGGTAAACTGAATAATGGCCTCCAAAAATATCTGTGGCCTAATCCCTGGAACCTGTGGATATCACTTTATATGGCAAAAGGAACTTTGCAGGTGTGATTAAGTTTAATTTTTTGATAGGAAAAGTATCTTGATTTATCCCAGTGACCCTAAGTGCAATCACAAGTGTCCTTATAAGAGGGAAGCACAGGGAGAGTTAATTCCGGAAAGTAACAGATGTGACAATGGAAGCAAAAGGTTAGAGTGACGTGAGGAAGAGGCCAAGGAATGCCTCCTACTTCTAAAAGCTGAAAAATAAGATTCTCCCCTCAGAGCCTCTAGAACAGCGGTTCTCAACCTTCCTAATGCCGCGACCCCTTAATACAGTTCCTCATGTCGTGGAGACCCCCAACCATAAAATTATTTTCGTTGCTACTCTGTAACTGTGATTTTGCTACTGTTATGAATCGTCATGTAAATATCTTTTTGTTTTCCGATGGTCTTAGGCGACCCCTGTGAAAGGGTCGTTCGACCCCCAAAGGGGACCACGACCCACAGGCTGAGAACTGCTGCTCTAGAAGGAACCAACCCTAACGACACCTTGACTTGAGCCTCGTCGGACTGATTGTAGACTTCTGATCTCCATAACTGTACGAGAATAAATTTGTGTTGTTTTAAGCTTGTGCTTTAGGTTTGTGGTAATTTGTTACAGCAGTAGTAGGAAACTAACGAAAGGTGCCTTTAAAACACCTAAGAGACGTCAGGTAGGCAGTTGGATATAAAGGGTCTGGGGGTGACAGAAGAGGGCTGCTGGGCGTGAGATATAAATTTGAGTGTCATATTAACATGGGTAGCATTTGAAGTTGTGAGAGGGCATTAAGCTCATATGAGGACAGTTAACACTGTCACCTATGTGCTTTGCATCTTTCAGCCAGGTACTTAACTTCTCTGAAACATTATTTACTAAACATTTATTCTGTCCTGGTGTCATATCACGCGATTTCCATGCATCCTCATTTAATCCTCACAACCACTTTATGAGGTAGACACCAATTTTATCTCCTCTTTACAAAAAAGGGAACCGAGGTTCAGCGAGATTAGTCATTTGTCCAAGATCAGACAATACATGAGGAAGACAAAACTAATTCCATTCCTTGTGCTTCAGCCCTTGTGGCCCAGGTACCAGCAGCATTGACACGATCTAGGAGTGTGTTAGACTTCCCGAATCATAATCTGAATTTCGACAAGACCCCCACGTTATTTCAGGAAGTGTGAGAGGCGCCAGACTCTAGTCTGTCTCCAGAGGTGGGTTCCACTCGGGGAGGTGCTGCACTAAGACCCTAGCTGAGAGTACTAGGAGCACAGAATGTTTTTTACCTGTGTTTTTGCTCAAACCATCCACTACCTGGAGCTAATAATACTCTTGTTGTCTCCTCCACTGGTACGTGAACGTCTGTAGGACAAGATAACAATTTTCTGTCACCTCAGAACGCCCAACGCCAGGCAAAATCAAAACCCAGGGCAGGCGCCCAGCAACTATGTGAAGTCAAGAATGAAGTAATAAGTGAAACTTAACTTGTCGCCTCAGACACCTGTCCAGGTGTATGACGCCCTCACAAGCTCCGGGGTGAGGCGCGGCGGCGAAGGGACCGTGAGAGGGAGGTTTAAATGCCGGAGCTTTGGCCTCCCGCGGGCAGGGCGGCTGAGCGCATGCGCGCAGCCCACGGTGCTGTCTCAGAGGACCTTCCCCGCATGCGCGGGAGCCCGGATGCGGCCCCAGTTGGTGGAAAGCGCGCGGCGCAGCGGCAATGGCGGCGTTCGGAATTGCGATGGGTGGTGGCGATTGGTTTTCGGCTTTGGTACTCGGGGTGACTCTCCTCAAATGCCTTCTTATCCCCACCTAGTAAGGGACTCGCACGGTCCGGGGCTGGGCTGGGAGGCCTGCGGTCGGTCTGGACGGGAGAGAGAAGCGTAGATGCTCCCGGGTGTGATTGAAAAGGAAAGGGAACTTGAAAGTTGTGTAGTTGCCGTTCCGTCTTTGCCAAGTAAGCTTCCGTTGCACCGATTGACTGTTACTTGACCTGAAAACTAGATCATAGTCCTGGATGGTTGGGTTCAGGGTCCTCATCCTTAATATACAGATTAAGAATACCCACCTACACTACTCATTCAGCTGATGTTTATCAGCTGGTTTTTATCAGCTATCTACTGAGCTAGGCGCTCTTGTAAGGCCTTGGAGATGCAGTGGAGAGGAGGACATTTCCCAGCCTTGCATTGGTGGAGTTGGTGAGGGCAGATAGACAAACAGGAAAGTTTCAGATTCTGCCAAGATCAATAAAAGAAATAGAAAGTGACTACGGGGCAAGGCGTCACACCTCTTTTAGGAGGTGATGCTTGACTTAAAATCCGAAGGATGAAAAAGAAGCAGCAATGTGAGAAAGCAGTTCAGGCATAGGAAAGAACAAGTGTAAAGACCCTGTGGTAGGGAAGATCTCAGCATGTTTGGAGTAGAAAGTGGACATTGTGGCTCAAGAGCAGTGAGGAAGAGAGTGGCACAGGATGGCGTAGTCAGTGGCCAGATCACACAGGGTTAGCCTGCAGTGTAAAAAATGGATGCAGGGCCAAGACTGAAAGTGTGGAAGCCAGTCTGGAAGCATCTACCAAGTGGCAATGTGTATACAAGGGGTACTCAGTATTTACCGATACTAGCTTCCATCTTCTGTTCTTCCTTTCTAGTTTTTGTCCCTTGACTTTTCTCTTCATTTCTTTTCGCTCTTCCCTCTAGGTTCCCCTACTTCCCTACCCTGTTTAGGGTTTGGTTTATTGGTATCCTTTGGTTCAAG